CCTCCCTGCTCTGTGAATGTTTACATGTTATGTTCAATTAAACCATGGCAACATGTAATGTTTGTGCATTATTATTTTCAGCAGACTGTGTTTTTCTATTGTTGTGACTTAGATGACGTTCAGAGCACATTTTATGACCAATTCATGCAAAACTCTGCGTTATCCCAAGGGGTTCACATACTTTTTCTTGCAACTGTATTTTAGCTTAGTTTGTTATGTTTATCCAGTATTGTCATCATGGAAGACTTATTTGTGCTCAGAGGAAGTAAGTTGTCTCACTTTCAAATCAACTACTTATATATCAGTGGTGGCGAACCTATGGCACGGGTGCCAGAGGCGGCACTCGGGGGTGGAGTGGAGGCGGGGCCAGTTTTTGGGCACTCGGTCTCTAAAAGGTTCGCCATCACTGTTATATATTGTCAGCTGACTATCTTTTCAGTTGTGCTTGAATGTCCCATAATACTATTGATGCCTCAATAATAGATTAGCTGCTATTTAGCTTAGCTACCTTGGAAGACTACATAATAACTGAAAAATTGCTTAGTTAATACATGTGATGATGTTTTCAAGATAGTTATTTTGACTTTAAAATTGTTAATTTTATATTCTCTGTTTATATAACATTAATCTAGGGGGTAATCAATCTTCCTGATACTATTATCCCCCAAAATAGCAAAATGAATTTGTGCAACCTTCCATCATTAATCCATTGATTGGATTGGGCAAGAAATATACCATTTTTTAAAAATTAGATCTCATCTGATAAATTCATTACAGTAGTGGTATAACTTGTTTGGGGTGGGTGAAAACATGCTAGTGAAGCGTGATTTGAAAACTTCAGGTGCTGGTTTCATACTGTAGGCTAAGCCTGATTCAAACCAACTACATAATGGCTTATATATGAATTTGGTCATTGTATAATAATCATCAAGGTTCATTTGCCAAAGTGAATGCTCCGTTTCTTTCATAAACTTGACAAACATATCTTTGTTCTGAACTGGAAGGGAAGTAAAATATCTTTATAGTTTTGATAGGTTTTTAAAGTGCTTTTAGTATCTTGTAAACATTACATAGCAAGCTCAAGGAAAGCTTTCTGAGATTAGAACTACAGAACAGACCGGGGCTGTGCATCCCCTGAAAAGGCATTTCAAGCTCAGGAGAGGAGTTACAGAAAAAGCAGTATGAGATCAGTGATTAAAACCTACCCTTGGAAGATACAAGAGTTTTCTATTGTCACTTCTTCTCATCCAAACATAGAACGAATTTATAGCAACCTGACAATTTAACAAATATGTTTTTGTATGTAACCTAATTATCAAAACTTGCTAATTGAATATATTTTTCTAATAGAATTAAATATGTTTATTTTTTTGTTAGAGTGCCATAGAAGTTCTGCAAATAAATAAGTAAATAGTAATACTTTACAGGTAGTCCTGGACTTATGATCAGTCATTTAATGGGCGTTTGAATTTACAACAGTGTGGAAAGGGAGGTTTTATAGTCTGTAAAGCACTTTCAGTCATTGCAAAATGTCATGCCACTCCCACCCACCCCCAGTCATGTGATGATGATCTGAGTGCTTGGCAACCTGTCCACACTTAAGACTGGTTGCCAAGCCCCACCACACTTATTTGATCACCATTTGCAAACTTCTCTGGCTTCCCTAGAAAGTCAATGGGGAAGTTGGCATGGAAAATTGAAAGCTTCCACCACCTGCCAAAGGATTTCATCTCTCTTCAGTGCCTGGGAATATATGGAAATCCTTTGTTGGGCTGCAGAAACAAAGAGCAGGGAGGAAATGGGAACTCCTTTGCTAGGCTGAAGAAACAAAGCGTGGATTGCAAAGATCTGAGCTTCGTTTCTCCAGCCCAGTGCAGGAGTTCCCTTTCATGCATGGAGGGGAGGGGAACTCCTGTGTTGGGATGGACAAACAAAATAATTCAGAAGATCCAAGCTCTTTTATTCCATCTATTTAAGGACTGCAAATGGAAGAGTTGAGATTGCAGTCGTTAAGCAAAGTGGTCATGTATGTAACAACTGCTTTACTCAACAACAAAGATTCTAATCTCAATTTTGGTTATAAGTCGACTATCTGTAAAAAAGCCCCATGTGTCTGACCAAATCCTTAATTTTTATGGATAGGATGACCTTGTCATGTTATAAAATTGAATTGAATTAGAGAATAATCTCAGTGAGGACAGAAAGACCACATTTTGTAATATTAAACAATTCTTTCTTTGTGTACTTTAAGACATCCTGGTTGACTGACAGTCACATGACTGGGAACAAAGCTCATAAAACCTTTAAGTACAGTATAGTTCACAGCAGTTAGCTCTAATGTTTGAATCACTTTTTGTGGTTGTGATTCATATAGTTAGCTGTCTAGGCCTATAGCTGAATCATTTAAAATGTTTTTTCTCTTTGCAGGGGCTTCTTATGGAAAAAATGGTGCCCATATTATTCGAGGACCAAAGATTTATTTACAGATATTATGGAAAGTTTATGCCTAACCACATAGCAGATAAACAACATTAGGGAAATATTTTTTGAGAAGAATGTAGGCATTTCAAAAAATGTATGCAGTGAAAAAACATTCTTTAACTGGTACCTGTTTTTATGAAGGTAGTAAGGAGATAGCTCTTTTTTGTCAAGCACTTGGAACATAATTGGTGATTAATTAGAAATCAGGTGGAGATTTGAGGGGTCCTTGGTGCTCTCTGAGCTTGTTTGTTTTCTTGCAGATGTTTCATTACCCAAACTAGGTAACATCATTAGGGCTAATAAGGAGTGCTGTTTGCTGTCAGTTTATATTCTAGTGCAAGGGTAGGCAACCTCGGCTCTTTTATGACTGGGACTTCAACTCCCAGAATTCCTGAGCCAGCATGGCTAAGCATAGAAACCTCTTCCTTTCCCCTCAGCATAGCTGACTCAAGAATTCTGGGAGTTGAAGTCCATGAGTCATAAAAGAGCCGAGGTTGCCTACCCCTGTAAATCTAGTGGCTTGCCTGTCAGTGTTGGTGAAGGTGGTATTAGAGATTCTTTGGGCTGTTTTCTGTTGGCTTCTTTGGTAGTTTCTTGATTGGGATATTGTTTACTTGATTGTTGGTTTGATGTTAACCTTGGAGTTAATCTACGCTGATCTTGGTGCTGATTGCTGGTGGAGAGGTGTTTGGGTCTTTTGTTCCTTTTTGGGCTGGGTGATAGTCTCTTTTGCATAGTCTATATAGGTGTTGTTAATGTCTATGGCCGTGGTGGCAAACCTATGGCACGTGTGCCACAGCAGAGCCCTCTCTGTGGGCACGCGTGCCGGTGCCCCAATCCTACGCCTTCAGCTGGGTTTTATAAAACCTTTTCGCTTTAGGCCTCTACCGCCATGTGCAAAAAAAAAAGTTCAATCAATCAATCAATTTCAACTTCTCACGGGAAAAAAAAAGATCTCGCAAAGTTGGAATTGATTGAACTTTTTAGTCCCACCCAGTCTGCCAATGGGCCACGCCCACCCGGCACCCGACGATACATAAGTGGATTTTGGATTGCAGTTTGGGCACTCGGTGTCTAAAAGGTTCGCCATCACTGGTCAATGGTATGCATCTATTGATGGCTCATTTGTCAGAGTGCCAGGCTTTTAGAAATTCCCTGGCATTTTTGGACTTGGCTTGATCTAGGATGGTCACATTTTCCCAATTGAAACTATGGTTAAATCTGTCTGTATGTTGTGAAAGTAAAGACTTTTCATCATGTCTTCTGACTGCTAGTTGGTGTTCATGGATTTATACAATTTTATAGTTCAAATGCTATAACTGCTCCCAATCCTGTCACTCAGTTTGGAGGAATTAACTGTGATTCCTAGGTCAGTAACTTTTTTTAAAAAAGAAGCTGATTTATTTATGCAAATTCAAGAATCTTTTTAAATGTCTTCTGGTAAAACAATGGAAATTGCTGTCAACTCTGTGAAATTAGTTTTGTATGACTATAGAATCAAAATATTTTGCTTTGTATATATGACACCTCAAAATGTTTAATGGGTTGATTATAACACTTCCCGTGGTCACTTAGGTTTTGGAATTTGGTTTGTTTTTGTCCTAAGAAGTGTCTCATTTGGGTTTATAACAATGGGATTAGTAATTTGGCTCCTGATGAATTGTTGTGTGAAATGTTTATGTTTTTAACTATCTTTTCAATATTAGAATCTTCAAGGTATCAAGTGCAATGGCTTTGGAGGAGTTAGTTTCATAACATAATTTTCCAGTCTCCTCCTTTTTGTTTTTATTATTAGAATGATTATGAATATTAAAATTATATTATTAATACTTTTTAAATGTACATATACTTTTATGTTAATTAAAACATTAACAGAATATATAAGGACAGTATTAACAATGAGCAGGTCAGTGTGGATGAAAAAGTTGCTGACTTGAAGATATGTTTGACAACAGTAGTCTTATGTTGAAACATGAGTTTGTTTAAAACATAGCAATCGTGATTTCCCTCCTTTTTTTCAGTTACACATGGGAAGCTCTTGATCCTGATAAAGTGCATTATAAAATAAATCCCTGTGGTCATGCGGGAGATTGTGGGGAATCCAGTGCCATTTGTGCCCGTGATCTAAATCAAAATTTATCTTTCTCAGTAGGTAAGTCTAAAAGTTTGTCTGCTCCCTAGATTAAAAATGCCAAATGTCATCTGTTCAGCTTTTTTTTATAAATATTAATGCTGAAGGCTTGTTGTTTTAAACCAGTTTAAAATTTATATAAAAGATATCTATATAAATATCTTTCACATTTTCTTTTGGGTTAAATGGAATGACATGAAATGCTCTAAAATAAGAAATAGTAAACAAAGAAATGAAAGGCATGATACAAGAAAAAAAAAGGAAAGTACTACAGGTCCTTATGAGCACAATTGGATTGGAATTTTGGTTGTTGAATGAAATGGTTGTTAAGCGAGACACCTATGTGACCACTTCACTCAACTACCACAATCCTGGCACTCCAGTGTGCGGTTGTTAAGTGATATCCCAGGTTGTGAAGTAGACAGAATAAATCAGCTGCCTATCTTGTAGAAGGAGGTTTTGAGAGTGAAAAGGCTGCCTGCTGGAGAATTTGAGCTCCTTTTGGAATTGAAACCTTCCAAGCAGGTGGCTCTTTGAGAGTAGAAAAGGCTGTGTGCCAGAGGGTTTGAGCTCTGTATGGAGCTGAAATCCATCTAGTAGGCAGCTCTTCCAGCCAGCCTGCAGAGTTGATAGGGAGTCCTCTTGGCAGGTGGCAGCAGCTTTCAATCTTCTCTTGGTGGCTCAACAGTGAGACACTGCTGAAGTGGGCACAGCAGTGTCTGCATTTTGTGCATTGCATGAGAAAAGCACATCTTCCTTCCCCTGTCCTTACCACTTTTTAGAGAGGGATGATCGAGAATATCTTGTCATATTACATTACTGTCTGATTTGGAAGCATTACTGCCTCAGACAGGAAGGCAGTGCAGAGAGTGGTGAGGATGGCAGAAAAAATTATTGATAGTTCACTCTATCCTTGACATAGCGTATAAGCGATGCTTGAGCAAGGACCACATGATTATTTGGGATGCTACACATCCTCTTCACAACCTGTTTTCCTTGTTACCTGGGAGGAGGCTTTGTGGTATCCAAAGCAGAACATCCAGATTCAGCTTTGTTCCATATAACATCAACTTTGTGAACTATCCTCTTTCTGCTATGTATTCCAAATGGACAGTGATTAATATTTATATGTATATATATGTATGAGTGTTTATATGTGTGTGTGTGTGTATGTGTTATGTGTGTGTATGGGTAGATACTTGCTTTTGAGGCAACAGAATTTCATTTTTAATGTGAGCCAATGTGCTTATAGTAAAAAAAATGACAATAAATATGATCTTATCTTATTCCTTGCTGGCTTTCCCATTGACTTTCTGGGGACGCTGGCAAAGAAGATTGCAAATGGTGATCATATGAACATGGGGAGTGGGAAATTGCTTATAAGGGCAAATTGATTGCCAAATACCCTGATCTCAATCCCATGATCATAGGAGGTCTATAGTGTTTTGTGATGTGCTGTATACGAGGTAAAGCTTTCTTTCTGAGGCCGTTAATTTGAACCATCATTAACCAAACAGTCGTAAGTTGAGGACTACCTGTACATTTAGTTTATACCAGCATCATTAATAATACCTCCATTTTGTTTTGTCCTTGCCAACTGTCCTTGCTTCATTGATAAATGCTTTAAACAGCGAAAGTGTCATGATACACTCTCGCAAAATTTCCACAAAACATTTTGTTACTCAAGGCTATTCACTTTACAGTCATACCTCGGCATTTGACTGCTTCAAAATTTGTTGAATTCCATATTTGATGCATTTTGAAGTAGAAACCTTGTTCCAGCACTCATCTTTATCCCAGTTGTCAACATGCAATGAAGAATATGTTGATGTCGACTGCTTCATGACTCACTGTTTCTTCTGGCTGAAATAGTGGGTCACATGGTTTTCTCAGTACCCGTAGGTTTTAGTATTCGGCACATCTTTCAGAATGAATTAACAACAGAGACCGAGGTACCATTGTAATATGCACTTTCTCTTTAAATCAACAAACATACAATTAATTTTCTTTCTTCAATTCATACATTTCCCAGTGGCTTGATGAAAAGAAAAAGTCTGGTCCTGTCTGACATAAAAATGTATTTGTACTTACTGACTGTGGCTCATTGTCATGTCTTACACCCTTTCAAGTCAAAATTCTGCCAAACACCTTCACTTCACAAGCACACTTAATAAACTAATTACCTTGACTTTTTTCATTGACTCTTGCTAACTTTCCCTTTGTATGGGGGAAACAAGATATTCTTGTAGACGTTATACATTTTTTCTCTGTTACGTTGTCATATCTGCAGCTTAAAAATTTCTCACATCCTCAAGACATTTATGACTTTTTTTGCAACTATGTTGTCTTGGATTTGGATTTGTTGCAACTGTAATATTTGACATATTGCTATTGTTTCTAATGTTTCTAAAACTTTAAAACTGCAGTGCTGTCATCATCACAATTCATTTCATCATATTTATTTCAATTAAGTTTCATTCTACTGGAGACTTCATCTTCACTCACTTTCAGAATAATATGTTACTTCAGTAACATATTTGTATTCTCTCTACTTTATTAATCTTTGCAATTGTTTGTTGCATTCAATTGTTTCCTGTGCATCTATTCTTTCTATCTATATACATCCTCATTTTTTGTATATGGTACTTGTAGCATATACAGCATTCTCTCTTAGTGATAAGAACCACACTGATTGGATTGGTTTGGCCCATACATCACAAGTAGAATCAAAGCCCATTTTTTACCCTAAGCTCTTGTGTTTTGTTATGTGCAAGTTATGATATATAGTTTAGAAATTACCTTGTGAGCTAGCACCCTATGGCTTTTATCCTATCAACTTGGAAATATGTAGAGTGCACTTTTTGACAGATGATCAAAATGAAACCGGAGCTATCTTAGTAGGCTCTACTTCTCCATGACTCCAGGTATAGTCCACAATATTGTTATACCAAATCTATTTGGAGAGTTCCAGGTTAAGAAATGTTGGGTTAAAATTAAACGTTTCTCTCATTTATACATGTTTGGATTCCTTGTGTACAATGTAATAGATCCCAGAGGTCAGTTTCTGTGTTTGCCAGGAAGAAATAATTTCTTTACAGTATATTTAATTGGACTCAAACAGGATCAGGCAGGGTATGTAAATAGTTTGTCCAAGGCTTCGTATGATTCTGCTATGGTCTTGATCACTTGTTCTATTAAAGAACCTTCTGCTAATACCTCAATCCCCATGATCTGGTTAACCCAGAGATTTGGGTAAGTTATTTCTCTTTCCTCCTCAGAGTCAAGCAGGAGAAAGTGATATAGAATGACCTAGCCCACTTAATAGATTAATAAATCCTAATCACCACCATAAGCTCATTAAGTGGATTTTTTGCCATTCATTCTTTAAAATGATTATGTTGGTGCCAAGTAAAGTCATGATTTTCTTTTCTTTTTCTTTTTTGGTGCCCCGAGTCATTGTTGACTCCTGGCCTTTATCTTGGTAAGGGTTTTTTTGGAGGTGATTTCCCATTGCCTCCTTTCTAGGACTGAGAGCGTGTGACTGACCCAAGGCAGTCTCCTGGTTTCTAGCCTAGTGCCTTAACCACTACAGCACATTGGATCACTAATTATGAATAAGAAATAATTAAAACCCAGGATAAAACAATTAGGTTTGTGTGGAAAAATGCCAGCAGGACAAGGAGAAGGAATGCTTTATAATAAAATTATGTATAAATACTTGAACGAGAGACATAAACTCAGAATCACATTTTAATTCAGCCAAGTAAAAATATAACGGGTGACTCTTCATCTGAATCCCATAGTTTTTTGTTTTTTGGTTTTTTTGTATGAGCTGGATAACTTTCTGAAAAGAGCTTGGAATTTGAAGCTGGATCTCTAGGAATGACCAGCACATTTTCTAACTTAGGTTATACGGTATAATTTGTTCTTGCGTGAAGATATTCCAGGATGAGCCTACTAAATGGAGAGGCTATTCCTAAAAACTAGTTCAATAATATATCAACTGAATTGGGCTTTTGAGAAGAAGCAGGGGTAGAGCTGTTCAGCTTGATACTTTTAGTCTGTATGGAATGCTACTCTACCAGTGATAGTCTGAACCTTTCCCTATATTGGTGTAATGAAACAGTAGTATATTAAGGTGTGCCAAACTAGTTAAAGATAGATCTGCCCTAACTGCCCACAGGTTTCTATTCCTCATTATATGATTGCCATTCTGTATGGAAGTATTCGTTTTATTTGAATATAAAACGGGAGTGTACCTTTATATTGTCTCTTGTGCTTTTCTTAATTGCTTCAACATCTCTTACGGACATATGTTAAACTTTACAAAAGAAAAAAGCTAACACACTCCTTATCTGGCACTCAAATGTTTGAAGCTTCAACTTTGCTAATTTTACAGAATCTAAACTAAAAGTGAACAGGATTTTCATCAACCCAAAGTGAAAAGACTCTGACTTCTTAACATTTTCCTTCTTAAACTTAAGTCAAATATTAATGAACTCAACAAGCTTTCCTAATTAACAGATAAGCTACTAATATCAATTTGTAATAAAAATGCCCTGGCCTATGAGATGCAGTTTTGCTAATTTTTTAAATATGCATATTGAAATGTCATTTTAAAATGAATTTATTTATTTCCCTTAGATTAATACCACACCTAGACCACCTAAGTGTCTTGTCAGGTCTGATAAGAGGGGTGTGTTCCGGATCCCATATATATTTTAAGATGCTATCTTATGGGACCCTGGAACTGTATCTTTTCTTGTTGTCTTCTGGAACACCATAGAACACTACCTGAAATTAAGTTGACCACAAACTGTGTTGGCTTTTCAGAAAACGGTTAAGACCTGGCTATTTTCCTGGCACGGGGTTGGGAATTTAGCTGAGCCTAGGTATGCTGGTTGCTGGTTTCCTTGATTGCTGCAACACATTGTTGGTTCTCATCTTTAATTTTTATTTTACCAGTGGTACAGTTTAAGATTTTCTTATCTGTCCAGAGTCACGTTTGTGAGGTGGGCAGCTGGTCCCCAAAGATTTCAGTATCTTTATCTGCATTCTGGGAGTGTCAGACAAGCTGTTTTACAGCTGCTGAATGGCTGCATTGAAGCCATTGTATTTAGGAGGTGAAGAAAAATAACCTGAAAACCTGGGTCCATACCATCATCACCACTGCAAGCCCATCCTTGAATTTGAAGTAACTGCTGAAACTAGAAAGTGGAAAGCAAGCAGGGATTGGTGTGGTAATAATACATGTGAGCAGCCTGTGGCAGAAGCAATGTGAGCAGCATCATTAATTGTGTAAACATTATCTTGCCAAATGTATCCTCTCAGCCCAGACTGTATAGCTGATAAATAATAGGCTCAGAAAAGGAATGAGTTGCTTCACTACTAAGACTTAGTACAAGCCCCCTGTCCATCCAGCCCAATCTGTTTTAAAAAATTAAAAAAAATATTCTAAAGCATTCCAAAAGTTTATCTGATAAGCATGATGAATTTCTTGTCAAGGCTGTAATTACAGTAATTGTGCACTCTTGCTCCATTTCTGAGATTTGGCATTTATTTCTATATTGGCAAAGATTTCTGTATATAAGGCTGGCTCCCTCTCTAAATATGCCAAAAAGATGTTGTCTAAAGGTTGGTGCTTGTCTGTCAAAGAGACAGCTGCTGAAATATTATTGGAAAAATGTGCATTTTGTCTCTCTCAATGACTTTAAAACTGCTGATTTCAGGGAATCATTTCCTCATGATTTTCTGCAAAGCTTTTGGCGATCTTCTCAGACAAATAATACTGGATGTTGATATAATCTCACATCAGCTGCAGGCACATTCAGATAGAGATGCAGAACGCCTTTAATATATGAAATCTTAAAACGATGTGAGAAAAAAAATCTATATTGAAATATATGCAATACTAGTATTGGGCTTTTCTCAGCTGAAACTAGAAGTAGAACCCTTAGAGACAAATTGTTGATAAATAAGTTTACTGCAAAAACAAAGAATGGAACAAAGAATTATTCCAGCAACTGCTAAATGTAAAATGCCATCCTTATTTATAGCATAAGCAAGATCATGTGCCTCTTTTTCCCACCTGCACCGGTGCAGTTGTCTGGAGGTCTCATATTTTGGAACAAGAGAAATGATTACCAGATGCCTTTATTGTAACAGACTGGACTGGTCTAAGGATGCTTCTAACCCAGCGCTTCTCAACCTATGGGTCGCGACCCCATTTGGGGTTGATCGACCATTTCACGGGGGTCGCCAAGCAAGGCTGTCCGCCATTTTTTTTGTCCGCCATTTTTTCCCCTTTTCCGGCGGGTGCCTTACCTCCCTTGGGCTGGGCCAGCTGGTGGTCAGCCTGCTCTGTCTCTGCCGCTTGCCAGCTACGCCTCGGCCGGCGCAGGGGGCAGAACCACGCATGCGCGGCGCTCCCGGGCAGGGAAAGTCCTTGACTTACGACCGGTTGGGTAGTCCTCGACTTACGACCGGTTTAGTCCTCGACTTACGACCGGTTGGGGGTCGCAGCATGAAAAAGGTTGAGAACCACTGTTCTAACCTTACCAGAATTGAGCCTTACGATACACCTTCCCTCTCTCTTTCCTCCTTTCTCCCCCATTCAAGGAAGAACTTGATGCTTCTCCACTCCCTTTTTCATGTCTATATCAATATACAGAGACACATATTTAAGTTGCATTGAACTTATTTGCCAGCTATAAGAGCCCTATTGTTCACATTCAAAGATGCTGCTGTAAGCATGCCCTTAGTTTTGATTAACTTTCATACACATTAAAAATTGAGTCCCTAGATATCTTAGTCAAAGAAATTAAAAGTAGGTTACTGAGAAATTAAAACAAGTATTTATGTTCTTTATGCAATCAGTATGTTATTAACAAATCAAAAAAGGATTTGTAATAAATATATTATTCATGCTCAAAACATAGTAACTGCAGTTTGCATCATGTTCTCTTTTATGCGAGAACTAAGAATGACCTGTATTTGCATCCATGTATATATCTGAATTGGTTTGCTCCAACATGCCTCACATTGTAACTTTTTCTCTTTGGAAAAACATCTTGAAATATCAGAAACCTTGAAGATATGTGAGGAGAATTTCTATACTGAAATATATGCAATACTACAGGTAGTCTTTGACTTATGACCAGTAACTGTTTGAAGTTATGACCTACCCAAAAAAGAAGAGTTGCAACCTGAATTTGAAGTTTGGTTCAAATGGTCATGTCTGAAATTTGGAAGCGTTTATTGCCATTTGCAACACCACATTTTGCAGTGGTTTTGTTGAAAACCGTGCTGGATTTCTGGTTTTCAGCAAAAGCGTGCCTCTAGCGAACCATTGGTTTGCTTAATGACTGCCATATTCGCTTAACAAGTCCACAAAAAATGATAAAATCGGGTCTTTCACCTGACCAACTCATCTTGAAACCATCACAATATAGGACCTTAATCAGCAGCCTCCATTATGGTTGTATGTTGAGGACAACCTGTAGTGTTAGACTTTTCTCAGCTGAAACTAGAAGTAGAAACCTTTATGGACAACTTGTTGATAAGTAAGTATACTGCAAGAGCAAAGGATGCAACTAAGTATCATTCTAGCAACTGCTAAATATAAAATACCATCCATATTTATAGCACAAACAAGATCATGTTCTTGTGCCTCTTTTTCCCACCTGCACAGGTGCAGTTGTCTGGATGTGTCATAATTTTGAACAGGAGAAATGATTGCCAGATGTCTTTTTATTGTAACAGACTACGCTGCTCTGAGGCTGTTTACTTCTAACTTTGTCAGAACACGGCCTTAAACCAGCCCTCTCTATTTCCTTCTTTCCTCCATCCCTTATTTAAGGGAAAAAATAATGTTTCTCCTTTCCCTTTTCCTTGGATGTGCAACAATTGAAGTTGAAATAATTTCTATCCTTATTGAAACAGCAAAGACCTGAATTTCAGCTTTTCACATTTTGCTTTTCACTGAGATAATAAAAGATAGATGGTTGAATAAATGTATGTATTCACAAACATACATATGTGGGATGTGTGGCATATAGATTTAATTTCTTAATTAAACACACATGCATTTAAGCTGCATTGAACTACAGATCGTCGTCCACTTATGAGTACAATGGGTCCCAGAATCTTAGTCATTGAGCAAAACACCACATGACTTCTTCGCTCAATGACAGCAATCCTGGCACTCCCAGCTCGATTGTTAAGTGACCGCATAAGTTGTTAAGCAGAGGGTCTGGACCTTCCATCACATCTCCCTGCCCCCCTAGGGAGTATGATTACAAAAACAAAGGCAGTCAGTAGCATCATTGCCAGGTTTGAGGTTTGTTCTTTCAGTATGCCGAGGGATTTCTCTGGGAAGGCTCAGAACACTGGCATTGGCTAGCCGCGACCCCCAACCGGTCGTAAGTCGAGGACTAAACCGGTCGTAAGTCGAGGACTACACCGGTCGTAAGTCGAGGACTACCCAACCGGTCGTAAGTCGAGGACTTTCCCTGCCCGGGAGCGCCGCGCATGCGTGGTTCCGCCCCCTGCGCCGGTCGAGGCGTAGCTGGCAAGCGGCAGAGACGGAGCAGGCCGACCACCAGCTGGCCCAGCTCAAGGGAGGTAAGGCACCCGCCGGAAAAGGGAAAAAAATGGCGGACAGCCTTGCTTGGCGACCCCCGTGAAATGGTCGATCGACCCCAAATAGGGTCGCGACCCATAGGTTGAGAACCGCTGGGCTAGCTTTTCACTTCCCTTCCTATGCGGAAGAAAAAACATATCAAAGACCATCATTCTGAGTCTTTTTGAGTGATGTTTGGGGGGAGAAATGCTAGTATCCTTTTGGGATAGTATATTAATGTGTATAAGTAGGTTTATGGGAAAATCTGACAAATGGGTTGGTAGGATGGGATTTAAAATTATAGTTCTTGAGTGCTCAGATGATTTTCCTAAATAGATTATGTGCCATCCATGACAGTCTGTCCCTAACTGTTCTTTAGGCCTTCCAATTGTGCACCTTTCATAATTGAGTCCATTCGCCTTGCTGCTGACTTTCTCCTCTTCTTTTTCCTTCCGCCTTTCCCAGCATTAGAGCCTTTTCTAGAGAACTAAATCTTCACATAATACAGTCAGAGTAGGATAATTTGAGCTGGACCATTTGTGCCTTGAGTGGATTGATTTGTTTAATGGCATGGGTTTTTTTTTGTTTTTGGCTGCCTATATTATTCACAAGAGTCTTTTTCAAAACCAGTGTTCAAAAGGGTCTATACTCTTTCTATTCTGCTTCTCTGCAGTCCATTCCAATATCACACTTTTTATTTCTGAATTTGAAGAGGGGGCTATTCTAGATGAATTTAACCTGAGGATAAGCTCAATTGAAACTCGGTCATCATGACTTAAAGTGGACCTGCACAAGATTGTACTGTAGTTCTTTGAGGGCCACTTTCTTGGCAAGTGTCCTTGGCCTATGTTTATGCTACAATTCTACATCTTTTTTTTTTTTATAGTTACTTGAATTGACAGTATCAGTTGTGGTTTTATCAAGGTATATGTAAATTTTATTTAGATATGTCATAGGCCCAAGGGAAAGTTTAGAAATTCTATCAAGAGCTCGTTAATGTTATTTACTTCTACATTTTGATAACTATTCACATATACTGGGCATACTTTTCTTGCCTAGATTTATGCTTGGTGGTATATAGTATTCATAATCTGTTTGATTTTCCACGGATGTCTATGCTCTGTTGGTGAGATTTTTGTGGGTTTTAATCTGTAACTCATATAATTGGAAATCACCTTTTGAGATTAATGTATGCTCTTTTTGTTTTAGGGGAATCCTCACAGATAAGAAGGTCTAATTTACTCTTGGAATTCAACACTACACAAACTTGTTCTAAGGAAAGTAAACACACATGGCAAAGTAACATCAATTTCTATTGTGGGAAGACTTTGGTTAGTACGTTATTGCTGAAAAATTTATTTCTAAATAGGCAATAATTACTAAGTACTGATAAGCTGTCCCAGTCATGACAGAAGAATTATGTTTGTCCAAGAATGTATCTGCATGTTCCAGCTTTGCAAATTGCTTATCTGTTTTCCCAAATGAAAGAGAAATATCAAATTGGTCAAATTACATAAAACTAGCACTTGTTAAAAATTGATAAAGAAATCTGCCACTCAACTTATATGCTTGATATCAAGTAAAATAAACATACTTTATTTTAGGCATTTCATTATATTTCTGTTTTCAGTTAAGTTTCTCTACCAGCATCTTAAAATAATTATTTATTTATATATTTATTAAATTTGTATACCACCCATCTGATAGAGAGACTCTGGATGGCTTACAAAACAGTACGGTGTTATTAAAGATAAAATTTTAATTTTGTAGTGTCTAGGTTCTGAAATGTTAATTTTGTTTTATTCTCCCAGTTATTTTAATTCATGGATGAATTTTCTCACTCTAGAGTTGATATATATCTGGGTAAAAGTAGTTTCTTGCTTGGAAATGTAAATGTAGAATTTATTTTAAACTTGTTTGCTATTAGGTTTTACAAATATAAATTGATTGGTATTGTGCATCCCTTTTTTCTTAATCAGGGTTCCCCAGAATTTGTGACTTCATTTGAGTGTGTTCATTACTTTGAATGGAGAACATTCCTCGCATGCAAGAATAACTTATTTACATCAGCTGATGAGGTAACACAAGTTCTATTTGAACATAAACTAAAAGATGGGGTGGAGAAAGAGAATGATTTTGCACAAATGCCAGGCAAGCATGCATGCACACGCTGCTCCATTTACATGTGTCTGCCGCTCACGCAATTGGAGTGCACTTGCTGGACTACTGTGCTGGCGGAAGAGAGGGTGTGCAAGCGCACGCTCGCCTGCCACTTCTGTAGCCTGGTTCCGAAAGGCTCAAGGCCTAGTAGTGGACCATGGCCCTGGGGTTGGGAACCCCTGTCTTAGAAAACTGCCGGGCAAGCAGGCAATCAATTACATGGCAGGAGTAAAATAACAACAACCCAGATACGACTATAACAGCTCCTTTTTAACAATTTACCATGTGTGTATCAAACAATACCCACAGGAAGTTATGGATTCTGATGGCCCTTCCAGAATACTAGAGGTTTGATTAGACTGTTCTGTATACACTTACTAAATACTCTGGTTTTGATCTGCTCAAGTTGTGAGAAATAGTAACTTTCAGTGGGTGCACATTCTCATCAGTACCACAAGATGGAAGCATAATATCTTTATTCGTTCTGCATGTTGAAAAATAGGACCAGGTTAAAGTGCTTCTCTTTGAAATATAGAATGACAGATGGAATGCCAATAATGACCCTATATTGTGTATGATCTTACTTGCAAGATACTTATGTTTTAAATTTCTAGGTGCCTTGCTACATATTTGATAAAAATCTGAAGAAGCGTGATTTAAATCCATTGATTAAGACTTCTGGTGGATACTTGATAGACGACTCAGATGATGATTCACAGTTATATATCAACATCTGTAGAAACATAGGTATGAAACCCAACTAAATAATGGGTAATTTTCTTTAATCTCCATAAGGCAAGACATTTTCTACATCTAAAATTTTACTATGCTTCCCTTTAGGATGAAAGACATAAAGTATTAGTGCTTTTATTTGAGCCACATTGCCAGATTCCTCAGTGTTTCCCAGTTCTCCATTTTATTTAATACCTCTGTTTTATTCAACATTCAGTTATTTATTTACCATTAATATTTATGAGACTTTCCAATTTTAAAAAAATATTCTGTAAATTTCCTTTTGTATCTGTGGCTTTGCAGAATCTGCTGATCAACTCTTTCCCACTTTTCTGACATTTTCCCATAACTTTTTTTCTAAATATTAGATAATGTGTATGCCTATTTATCTTGGATATTTTGATTGTTGAATAATCTATAGTTCAGTATATGTTATTGGTGCTACCTTATTCCATTTTACTTATCAATAATAGTGAGATCTTCCTTAAATATGTGGGAAAAAATGTCTGAACTCAAGATTTTCTCAAACTTTTGTTTGCAAGGTTATGAGACTGTCTTATGGAAATATCAGGCAATAGTTTAAATATCATTTTGTGGGAAAATCACAACTTCAGTTATATAAAATATTTAAGAACATATATTAAAGTTGGTTTATAGCTTCCTTTGAAAATACCATTTTATGGTATTTTTTATGGTAAAATATGACTTCGGTGCATTAAGTTATTCTTAAAAGCTGTGAAAACCACCTTGAGGCATTAAAAATGAGTGCAATCTTGCATAATACTGCATGTAAAGACTTGATAAACACATTTGCCTTATTTCTGGAACTTCTGATCAAGGTATCTCTGTAACACTGATATCTCTTCACTTATATAAATTTCTTAAATGTTCTTGCCCGCTTTGCCATTTTAGTATCTGTTGTATATAAAGTTGAATCTTGATTGCCATAGTTCTGATTTATAACTTGGCTAAATAGCCTGTCCCTTCTATTTTTTATTTTTGGAAGATGTGGCTAAAGAGCTTATATTTGATTTGATTTAAGCAAACCTTTGGAAACTTTAACCGAGGAACATACTTATACATCAGTAATACATAGGTTGTTACTCGTCATTGCTTTAACAGGAAGGTCATCAGGTGAAACTAGCAGTTGTCCAGAGCACAGTGCAGCTTGTTTGGTGAAGGATGGTCATGCATTTGATCTGGGCCATACTAAAGGATTACTAAAACAACTTGATAAAGACAGGTATGGCTGAAATCTTTGAGTGATCCTTGAAAGTCATCAGCATGTCAGTGCTGTTCATGGTGAATAAGACTGGAAGAATGTAACTATAAAGTTCAAATGTTAATGTAAAGTTTAGTCCTTACATGTTCCTGCTACTACTAGGAATTGTATTGAGAGTTGAATTACATGTCCTTTGTTTAATTTACAACAGTTTTAAAATTAGCCTATTTTGGTATGTTTGTGGAGCATAAAAAAAGAATTTTTTATTAGAAGTTGGCCTAGAATCCCTAGAAAACCACTAACATTGCTTTCATAGGCACAGTATTCTTAATTTTGTTCCTAATTGTATATTATATTATTTGCTGAATTCACTGAATTTATAGCTATTCTTCCCACCACATTATTTACTTGTGCCTATGCAGTAAATTTCAACAAATAATCTTTCTGAAGTGCCCAGCATCTCCCTGGAAATATCTTACTTGCTATTTTATTTTTTGGGTCTATATATATTGCCTTGAGGGGAGGGGGGGGGTAAATGATTATGCAATGATACTGATAGAATTAGTGTAGTATTAATCTGGAAAAACAGTTCCACATGATTTGAGTCATCTTGTAAAGTAACAACAATTTGAATTTATTACGACACCATTGTTCTAGATTCTACTTGTGCAATTGTTCACTCCTCCAATTTGGTATCTTGCAGATAAGTTTGAATTCCAGTTCCTTAGATTTCCTAGCCCTCTTGTTTTTTAACTGTTTTTTTTAACTTTGGAGAGATTTACATTGCGAACTTTGCTTTGTGTGACTCTCCCAGTACTGTAGTTATTTTTTCATGTTTATGTTATTTTTTCCAGGTTTCAACTGAGATACGAAAAAGAAAACAGCAATGTAAAAGAGAGACCAGACTTTTGTGGTAGCCATGACCCAGCAGTTACAATTACTTTTGTATGTCCAGAGGGAAGGCAAAGAGAGGTAATCAACAATTTCCTATGGTGGATGTTGAGAACTGTTACTTGACTGGGAAAACCAATGGATCATAGCATTAACTCAAAATAAATGTACCAGCATAATTCAATTTTACAGGGCCAAGTCGAGATATCCTATTGCCTAAAAAGTAAATATCATGGTCATTCTTTCTCATACTTCTTCTAATGCCCAATCAAAGTTCAGTATCAAGCCTGTAAAAGTTTCTTTAGAGGCAGAATATCCCATAAGTCTTTCCCCTTCCTGACAACAAATACTGTCTTAATGAATTAAATTACTACAATTTCTGGACATCCAAAATCACCTGTGTTGACCCTTTTATTGAGGCATTAAGATCTTTGTCATAATTCATGCTATCTAAACTGTGAACAATTTTTGATAACCACAGCCATGGTTTTCCAGTGGTTGAGGATCGCATTGAACATGGATATTTATAGGTTTGGGGAGTTTTTTATGGTATTTTTTCAAGTTGATAATTGATTATTTGGATTGTTAAAAATCAGAAATAAAAGTTACTTTCGTATTCTGAAATTTGAATGACTGCAGTAAAGGGATTTCAGGCTACAAAGATGATTAGGGGACTGGAGGCTAAAGCATATAAGGAACGGCTGCTGGAATTGGGTATGTCTAGTTTAATGAAGAGAAGGACGAGGGGGGACATGATAGCAGTGTTCCAATATCTCAGGGGTTGCCATAAAGAAGAGGGAGTCAACCTATTCTCCAAAG